TAGGAAACACAACCTAAAGTTACATCCTGAAAAATTTTCATTTTTCATGCATGAAGTCACAGTTTTGGGACATAAATGCACTGATAAAGGAATCTTGCCTGACGATAAAAAATATGACGTAATAAAAAATTATCCAGTCCCACATGACGCGGACAGCGCTAGACGATTAGTTGCATTTTGCAATTACTATAGGCGCTTTATAAAAAATTTGGCCGATTATTCTCGTCACATAACTAGGTTATGCAAAAACAAGAAAGGAAGCTAACTTCGGCACCCGGAAGTTTGTATACCCTTGCAGATTGGTTTTGAGGTTTATATTATAGATTTAAATGCTGAAAACACTCACAAAACAGAGTTTCATTACATGTTACCTATACTTATTATGTTTACAGTTTGACAGTTACAGTTTTACATTCCCAGTTTTACATTTTCTCTACATCTACCGATCGGTTTATATGGCAGCTATATGATACAGTTGTCCGATTTTTATGAAATTTATACCATAATTCTAGAATAATAAAAAAGCTTATATCTCAGAGTAGATAAGCATACGTTGAAAAACAACGAAACTATAATTTTTTTCCTATTTATTTCTCGACCGTTCCTATAGCAGCTATATCTAAAAAATGGTGCAAAAATGTTGAAAAACAGCAAAGTTATAATTTTTTTTCTACAAATATATCTAACATTTGTATGGCAGCTATATGATATAGTCGTCCGATCCGGCCCGTTCCGACATATATAGCAGTGAGAGCATATAGAAGACTATATGCAAAGTTTCATTCAGATAGCTTTAAAACTGAGGGACTAGTTTGCGTAGAAACAGACAGACGGACAGACAGACAGACGGACAGACGGACAGACAGACAGACGGACAGACGGACATGGCTAGATCGACTCGGCTGTTGATGCTGATCAAGAATATATATACTTTATAGGGTCGGAAACGTTTCCTTCACTGCGTTGCAAACTTCTGACTGAAATTATAATACCCTGCAAGGGTATAAAGATGTAAAATTCGAATGGACATCGGAATGCCAGAATGCCTTCGATCATCTTAAAACGGCACTTATAAATCCAACCTTGTTACAATATCCAGATTTTTCAAAAGAATTCTGCATAATAACTGATGCAAGTAAACAAGCGTGTGAAGCGGTTTTAACTCAAAACCATAACGGACTCAAACTTCCAATTGCATACGCATCAAGATCCTTTACTAAAGGAGAAAGTAACAAGAGTACTACTGAGCAGGAATTAGCTGCTATTCACTGGGCTATAAAACATTTTCTACCATATATTTATGGCAATCATTTCACAATTAAAACGGATCATAGACCATTAACCTATTTGTTTTCAACGGTAAATCCAAGTTCCAAATTAACTCGTATGAGGCTTGAATTAGAGGAATTCGATTTTACGGTAGAATACCTGAAGGGCAAAGACAATTATGTAGCTGATGCGTTATGAAGGATAACCATCAAGGAATTACAAAACATCACTGGATCAATAAATAAAGTCACTACACGATTTCAAAGTAGACAAAAATTCCGCGCGGAACATCAAGAAAAAGAATTGCCAATGCAATCTCTGAATAAAGCTTCTAAGCCCAACGTTTACGACGTCATAAACAATGACGAAGTACGTAAAGTAGTGACCTTGCATATAAAAGATATGTTATGTTTATTTAAACATGGCACGAAAATTATTGCAAGATATGAAGTTAGCGATTTATATACTAATGGAGTTGTCGACTTAGGTCAATTTTTCCAAAGGCTTGCAATGCAAGCCGGTATACATAATATCAGCCACCTCAAAGTGGCACCGTGGGAAAATATCTTTGATAAAATATCAACAGATAATTCCAAATTAATGGGCAATAAGATACTGAAAACATTAAGAGTAGCGCTACTCAACCCGGTGACCCTAGTATCAAAAGATACAGAGAAAGAAGCAATTTTGTCTACGCTACATGATGATCCAATACAAGGAGGTCACACAGGCATCACAAAAACCTTGGCCAAGGTCCAGAGACACTATTACTGGAAAAATATGTCCAACGACATAAAAGAGTACAAGAAAATGTCCGAAATGCCAGAAAGCTAAAGTAACAAAGCACACAAAGACCCCTTTTACACTAACAGAAACACCAGCACATGCATTCGACAGAGTGATAGTGGATACCATCGGACCACTACCAAAATCTGAAAATGGTAACGAGTATGCAGTCACATTAATATGTGATCTAACCAAATTTTTATTTGCAATACCGATTCCAAATAAAAATGCTAATACTGTAGCCAAAGCCATATTTGAATCTTTTATTCTGAAGTATGGTCCAATGAAGACGTTCATTACGGACATGGGAACAGAGTATAAGAATTCAATCATAGACGATCTGTGCAAATATTTGAAAATCAAAAATATTACATCAACAGCACACCATCACCAGACAGTTGGAACAGTAGAAAGAAGCCACAGAACAGTAGAAAGAAGCCACAGAACCTTTAATGAGTATATACGATCCTACATATCGGTTGACAAAACTGATTGGGACGTATGGCTTCAATACTTCGTCTTTTGTTTCAACACGACCCCATCTATGGCACATACTTACTGTCCACATGAGTTAGTGTTCGGTAAAACAAGTAATTTACCGAAACACTTCAATAGCATAGATAGCATAGAACCTCTTTATAATATAGATGACTATGCTAAGGAATCTAAGTATAGATTAGAACTAGCTTATAAAAGAGCTAGGGTTATGTTAGAATCGAATAAGAATAGGAATAAACTATTGTACGACCATAGAGTAAACGATATAGATATATCAGTAGGCGACCAGGTTTTGTTAAAAAACGAAACAGGTCATAAGTTAGATGTTAAATACACCGGTCCGTACGTAGTAACGGAAATAGGTGATAGGGATAATATAGTCATAGCCAATGATAAACGTAAGACACAAACAGTTCATAAGGATAGGTTAAAAATCTTTATTTCATAATTTGCATTTAGTATAGCCATACACACCCATATCTACACATTAATACACTTACACAATACAAAAAAAAAAAACAAAACCAAACAAAACTAAAACAAAAAAAAAGCAAAAACCAATTAAAAGTGTATTAATTAGTATAAAATAGCTTCACTTAGTTACGTTATTTTTCAAAAGGAGGGAGATGTAGTATGCGCACATATCGAATACGCACTGTACCCAGAGTACTTAAAGAGTGCGCACTGTAATACAATGTTGCAGTGTTTACACAACTCAAAGTCCCGGTCATAAACCATGAGTGGCCGAAATATGAACCGATCGCTAAGGCTTAGCCTGCACTCAGAAAGTGCTAGTGTTGACATATTTGTGTCGAATGGACTACACGCGCATACCCCCTCGCGCTTCCACTTGTGAGCGCATAGCCAATGTACATAAGTACATTTCCTTATACATAAGAATACATATACACAGCCGTCTCTCTGCCGCTGCCTGCGAGCAGCGCAGCTACGAGACTTAGCTTACATTATAACTTAAGGAACTTTGTATATATCATTAACTCTTTGAGCATTGGAGCGGTACCATCGCTGCTCCAAAAAGATACCCAAAATATATTAAAAGATACTCTTGGAACATTGAAGCGGCACCATGGCTGCTTCAATTTAATAAAACTAAATAATAAAACTTAAACCCCAAAATCTTATCCTTTGGGGATTGTGGACAATTTAAGGACGAAGATATTTCAAAACAATCATTTGTTGAAGAATCGTGTGATGTGTGTTGAACGAGTATATGTAGTTATGTGTTCCAATTCATTCAATTCATTTCAATTTGAACTTTAACGCATTGCAATATGGGCATAGAGTCGTCATAGATCCAATATCTAAATGTTCATCATCACTGTAGTTCGCAGGGGGATAATATAGGAAAGTCAAGCGATTGTATGATGCCAATTCCGCGATACCTTTCGAACGAATGCAAAACCGTGGAAATCGGTTCGTGCGTTCTGGAGTACTAGCATTATATAGATAAATAATTTGTTCGGGCTCAAAAATTAATCCGAATCCATAAGCTTGCTTAGACATAATTCATACAAGGCAAGCAAGTAGCTCTAAATCAATTTGTTCTACCGCAAATCCAATCTGGAACGGATTCTTCGCCAGCATCATTTCGTTCGAACGAGATTACAAAGGCTATCAGGTAACTGCAACTGTAAACTTTTCAATGGGATCATATCATCATCACATCATGGAAATTATCGATTATCATAATGTTTCCAAAGCCTGGAAAAGACCACTCGATTCTGTCTTCTTACAGACCAATCAGTTTATTATCATGCCTGTAGAAATTATTTGAAAAATGGCTGCTAACGCGCATAATCCCATGTCTGGGAGCTCACAACATCATACCAGCACATCAATTTGGCTTCAGAAGAAAGCATAGAACATTCGAGCTAGTTAACAGACTAATAGAGATTCGCACATATTTGATGATCGAGAATATTGCAGCGCAATATTTCTCCCATGTATTTCTAGCATTCGATCGCGTATGGCTCAACGGCCTCATAATTAAAATTAAAAAACTTTTGCCACAATTAAAGGTGGAGTCGTACATGGTAGCTACATTGGGCCAACCCTATTTGTCCTTTACACAGCGGATATTCCGACGTGCGACTGGCTGACAACATCCACTTTCGCGAATGCCACTGCCGTGCAACAACCTAACTCGCAAACCACCTAATGGTAGTTGATAAGTGGCTATCTGACGCGTATAAAAAACTAACAAATGTTTAAGCACATAACGTTCACTCTCAACAGACAAACAACCCATAGTTCTGCAGAAATATCAGTTTACATGGTATTAGACAAGCTACCGTATTGACTTATTTATTTCAATAAAAACCTTTAGCAAAATGTTTTTTTTTTTTTTGTTGTCTTTCAGATATACAAAGCTATTTGTTAATAAAAAAAATCATTATAATGGTTAATTATTAAATCTTGTTACTTACTTTGACATTTTATCAGCTTCCAAAAGCTGTAATTTGTAATAAGAATTTTTATTTCGCTGAATATCAGTCAAGCCGAGTACTACATTGTATTTATCTTTTCCGTGAACGTATACATGTGCGATATCCTCAAGGCCACTGTCCGGATCTACAGCTGTTCCATCCTTAACTTTTAACGTTTTTGAAATTGGCACAGATTTTGTATATATACTTTTGTTCTTTGAACTCTTTGAACCATCCAGAGGCACTCTTAGAAGGGGGTCAGTACCCCAATTACACAGGCTCATACTATTTATATAATTAATAGCTCTGTCAGCGTCAGCTTCCACAAAATCCAAATATTCTAAGGGTACAATATGTATTCCAAGTTTTTTTGCAGACTCCATACGGATAGATTTTTTTTTTATTTCTGATTCGGTGGATAATATGGCTATGGTTGTATCAGATATTTTATTATCATATTGGCCGCCCAATTTTTCTATTCTTCTCTTTATTTCAATCTCCATATTTTTCATACCGATAACGGAAAACTTCAAATTGTACAATGGAGGCTTTTTACGAATAATTTTTGGACTGAAATGAAATATAAATAAATATATAAGCTCAATTTAATAGTATAGCATAATGGTATTTATTGCTTGAAAAGTATATCGCGGGTGAAACAAAAATCGCTTACAGACTCTCCAGAGGCATAAAAGAAAAATAAATCCCAGCAGAAAACTTTACCATATATTACTTCAATTTTATATTTATAAAAACACTGCGATTCGTAATGGCTTCTTTTTGCTTCTAGCGTCTTTTGATATACGCCTTCAGGCCACGTTTCAATACCCCATATTAAGCTTCATGCATTATTTGCCCTGTGTAAAAACGATAGGACTATGGTGTAGACAAGAGGATAATGTTGACTTTTTGGTTTTTTTTTATACCTTAACAAGCTATTAAAGGTTTGACAATAATATTACAATTCACAAATTGCTATTTTCGAACCTATAAAGTACATATATGTAAAAAGGAAAGGGATCGAAGCAGGCCGAGAGCTTGGAACTGACAGCAGCTAAGCAGGAACAGAGAGAGAATTATTCATTGTGTTTTGGGAGTTCAGCAGTTACAGTTGAAATTAAGCAGATATAGAAGCAGAAAAAGTAACAAAAGTTGAAAAGAAAACGGAAGAAGCAGATAATAGGAAAGAAAACTTGCACAGTTTTAGAAACATATAATATCCGAAAAATTATTATAATAAACGTAACACAAGAGGGAAATACCCATCTTACATTTGGGGGCTCGTCCAAACCTAAATTGCAAGTCCGGAGAAGTTTAAAAGGCGGATAGCGGAAGGGAATGAGTGTGAAGCCGTATTACACTAGATCTGTCGCAGCGGATAAAACTATCAGAATGGATAACTTTGGTAAAGCTGGTGAACAGGAGAATGACGATGAAGTTAAAAGCATGCATGAACTTTCCGAATCAAGAGGAGAACAAAAGGCTGCAAGAAGAAGCATGCAGAATCGTGTCGGAACAAGTGGAAGGCAGAATGATACAGCTATAGCAGTTGAGAGCAGCTCGATCGACGAAAACACAAAAACGCTGAAAGACCTTGTGCAGCTGCTTGCCATAAAGTTTGGAGCGGAGGAGCAGAACAGTGGATGCTCGATTACAGCGGAAAGCTTCGCGAAAATTATTCCAGAGTTTGACGGAGAATCCATTCCAGTGAAGTACTGGTTCGACAATTTTGAGCAGAATGCTGCAGCCTACGGGTTGAACATAAAGCAAATGTATGTCCAGGCTCGGGCGAAAATGGTGAACACTGCAAAATTATTTTTGGAGTCTACGTTTGTTCATCAATATGCAGAAATGCGTATGCTGATGGAGACAGAGTTCAGTCGTCAATATGTGTGCAGTGCTGATGTCCATGTGCGGCTCCGTACTCGGAAGAAACGCAAGGACGAATCATTTCATGTATACCTACTGCAGATGAAAAAGATTGCGTCACTTGGCAACATCGATGTACGTTCAGTAATCCGTTATGTTGTTGACGGCCTAAGCATGAGGAGTGACTTTAGATACTCTCTCTACTGTTGCAAAACGTACAAAGAGCTAAAGGAGCAGTATGAGGTGTACGAACGCGTGGGCGAGAAGCCGTTCAAGCCGAACAATGAGAGGTCGACACCGGAAAATAGGATGCAGCGCGAGTTCAACCACAGGAGGAATCACTGCTTCAATTGTGGATCTGCAGATCATTTTCGCAAGGATTGCAGGGCTGCGGTGAAATGCTTCAGATGTAACGAGGAGGGCCACATGTCAAGGGATTGCCCTGAATCAACTGCAGATGTTCAAGTTGTACGCAGTGCAAATCGCATGAAAAAGGTGACCATCAACGACGTGGAAGTGGAGTGTCTGGTAGATACGGGAGCCGACGTATCTATTTTGCGCAAGTATGTCTTTGAAAAAATACCGAATGTCATCTTGAAGAGATGTGCGTCGAAGCTGCGTGGGCTTGGAAAGAGGATGACGTGCCCAGTTGGCTACTTTTCGGCTGAGGTTGCAGTAGATCAGGAGTTGACGACACAAAACTTTGTTGTAGTGGAGGATGCGGACATTGAGTATGATGCGCTGCTGGGTTTCGATTTCGTCTCGAAGTTTAACTTTTCGCTGTCGGCCGACGGATACAAGTTTTCTTTCCAGCTGGAGGAGAAGGCTTGTGAGAAGCCAAAGCAGTATGATAAAGAAGTGTCGCAGCTGATCAAGAACTACAAGGCCGTGAATACAGTCGCAGAAGTCCCAGTCAAGATGCGGAAGAAGGTGCTGAAGAAGCCGCCAACAGATGGATATATAAGAATCCTTGGCTATGAGGGAGTGACCAAGAAGCTGACCCGCTGCAATGCTGGAACAACCCAAGAGTGTTTGGCGGAGACGCCGCGAAGAGCAAGCCTAAAATCAGATCTGGCCAGCAATCACAAGTTGCGCAAAGCCCAGATTGATGGCACTAAGAAGGAGAAGTCACTAGCTGAAAAGGAGTGCCAGCTGCTGCAGAAGAAGTCGACCCACGATGAGATCTTCGCCCGCTGTCAGGAGTTGGCCTTCATGAAGATGAGTGAGTCCCAAAAGTCGGCCATAGAGGACCGCAGAATTTTGAAAAAGAAGCAGGAAAGTCGAAGAAAAGATACAAAGAGAGATTCAACGAGCACAGGAATTGTATAGGAGGAACTTTGACCGAAAGCGAAAACCGGAAGTCGATCATAAAGTTGGAGACTTAGTTGCTATACGCCGGACACAGTTTGTAGCTGGAAAGAGGTTGGCTGGAGAGTACATGGGACCGTACGAGGTTGCAAAAGTGAAAAGGAATGGGAGGTACGAAGTTCGGAAGGCAGCAGATTTCGAAGGACCAATTAACACTTCAACCAGTTGTGACTACATGAAGCTGTGGCGATATGTCCAGGACAACGAGGATGATTGGTCATCTGGGACAGATGAGTAGTCAGGAATGGCCGAATGTAAAAAGGAAAGGGATCGAAGCAGGCCGAGAGCTTGGAACTGACAGCAGCTAAGCAGGAACAGAGAGAGAATTATTCATTGTGTTTTGGGAGTTCAGCAGTTACAGTTGAAATTAAGCAGATATAGAAGCAGAAAAAGTAACAAAAGTTGAAAAGAAAACGGAAGAAGCAGATAATAGGAAAGAAAACTTGCACATTTTTAGAAACATATAATATCCGAAAAATTATTATAATAAACGTAACACAAGAGGGAAATACCTATCTTACATATGTATATGTGGGATTGGAGTAGTTTAAAGTATTAGGGACAGCCTAAACTGCTTCCTATTTCACCATAACCGCAAGTATTTCATCAGCAGAGGAGTATAGTATTGTTGTCCCACTCCAAACTCTGATCTGCCATCACTTTTGCTCTCATACTGTCCAAAACCCTAATTTCGTAGAGTCGAAATGAGTCGCTGTAGAAACTGAACGAGGCCAGTCTAGTGCGTCTATAGTACGAAAGAAGAATTTTTAATTATCTTGTGAACTTTACCTGAAATAAAATAAACTTAATTTGTATTATCCCAACATATATTCTTGATCAACACAAACATCCATCTTGCCATGTTCGTCCGTCCATTACCACAAAAATTAGGAGAAATGAGAGGAGAGTTAGATCCAATTCTTGCTTCATAGTCCTGTCACTGTTTGAATAAGCTTTTCGTAATGCACTTCCAGGTTTTGGCGGCTTATATATATTTTTAATTATGTATTTATAATACAAATTTTATATTTCTTAACACCAGCAATGTTAAGTTTAAATTGTTGTTGTACTTTTTATGTACCACACTTTTTTAGGGTTTTTGGTCAAGTCTTGGTCAAGTTGGTGCGTCCACACAAATGGTCGAACGTCTTCTTTAACTGTTCAACTCATTTGTAAGATTTAATACATTTTACCCAATGGTACAAACAGATCTCATAAAACACCCATGCAAACTTCTCATTTAAAAAACAAGCTTTAAGGGTCCATTCTGGTTAGTTGAAAAAAAAAAATCGAATTTTTTTTTTTTCATTTTTTGATAGCTTTAAGTGTCTAGAACATCATACTAAAAGATCAAATCGAAATACGTAATAGTTTAAAAGTTATGAGCCTCCGAACCGGCCGACTCAAAGCAGCTACAGAGCAAACATAAAACTTTAAACGCGTTTTCTGGGAAACTACGTTTTTCGAACTGGCGACCGTCCTATCTCAGTCAATTTTTAACGAATCTTAATGTTTTTTTTTTTTTAAATGCGCGTAATGAAGCTTTCCTTGGAATAGACTACAATTATATTGATAGCTTATGCATTGGATTTTTTATTTTGTATTTGTACACCGATTTCAAAATGGCATTTTTCAGGAGAGCGCTTTCAACTTTGTGATTCTCATGCATTGAACACCAACCGACCTTCGTTCAACTCTGCATAACTTCGTCAATATACCTATGATCGGTGTAAAACTTGGACACAATGTTCTTAAGATATTGAAAATTTACGAAAAAAAAAAAATTAAATACATTTTTTTGTATTTATTACACCTTCATCTTTTATTTGACCCTAAAAAACCAAAAAGAAATCAAGACAAAAAAATTAAATTTTGATGTGAAGGAAAAAATGCCATTTTCAGGTGATTAGTTTTCACTTCCCACCCTCTTAAAAAAAAGAAATACTAAGTTTTATAACAACCATTTAGATTCAAATAGAAGATAATTTCATGCTGATCATAATCATTTTTGATTCACTCCGATATGTTACGTAGTTTTTTGTGAATCGTGCCCATAGCATAGGTAGACATGCCAAAATTAGAAGTTGAGAAAAAGACGATTAAAGTTTTTGATGCGCCCACGTTAACACTTGTGAACCTTGCGTGCATACTTGATTTGAGGCACTTAAAGTTTAAATTCGATAATGAAACTTACACAGTATATTCTTTAAGTAATAAACTATTTTTTAAACAAAAAAAAAATTGCCAAAAAAAATTTGGTTTACATGTATATTCCCCCTTAAGTTAAAGGGAAATAATTTAGGCAAGGTAATGAGAAAGTACATTCGGTGATC